GTTTTCTCTAGACATAATTCTCCTTTGGGGGTTGAAGGAAGATGGGATGTTTGAAATATATAATGTCTTAATTATATTTGTCATTACTCAAGGTAGACTTGGATCTCTTTTGATAAGCCAGCTTTAATCCTAAGACCTCTGTGCATTAACAGTGCCTAGTGGGAAATCTTGTCTCCATTAGATACTTGGGGAAAGGGCCAGAACACAGATAAAGGTTTAGAATTTGGCTTCCATCTTCACCACTCTACTGAACCTGCTCTCTAAAGTCACTAATGACTTCACTGTCAGATCCAATGGCACTTTTCCAGTTCTCTTTGAACTCATTTCTTTGAACTCTGAGCAGCGTATAAAGTTATTGACCAGTGCCTCCTCCTAAAAACTTTCCCTGCCCTTGGGATTCCATGACATTGCACTTTTGTGGTTCTTCATCTACTTTTCTCTGAATGTTCCTTTGCTAAAGTTTCTTCATCCCACTCCCTACATGTGAGTATCCCCCAGCTTTGTCCTTTGCTATTTTCTTTACATCTTTCCCCTACTGACCTTATGGCTTCAATTATTACCTCTATGTAATTAGCTGTGAAATCTTTCTCTCTAGTATTTCTTTACCCCGAAGGCCACTCCAACATTTCTAGTTCCTGCAGGTTGTCCTTTCCTCACTTCCTAACCTCCCTATTTGTGTTGATGGCACCATCACTCTCCCAGTATTAAAATAATAACAATAATAACAACAACAACAACAATAATAATAATAATGATTACACAAGAGTACCTTGAGGATAGCTGAATAGTGTGGTATAACCTTTCTTGGAGTCAGAAAACACAGGTTCAAGTCTAGTTACTAATAATATACTACCCTTGTGACATTGGGCAAGTCATTTAGCCCGAGTTTCACTATACCAATCTATAAAATGGAAATACTTGCCCTACTGACCAGACACAAAACCTTAGAATTATTTTTGACTGTTCATAATCCCCTATACTCTTATTAATTCTGTCTCCGAAATTTCTCATACATCTACCTTCCATTTCCATGACTAACATCATAGCTCATGCCCTTGCTACCTCTTAACCCGTGCTACCATAATAGTTTGTGTCCTATCTCTGCCATCCTCAAACCACCCCTTCATACTGATGCCACAAAAATTCTCCTCATGACCAGATCTGACCAATGACTTCTCTGCTCCAAACTCTTCACTGGCTCCCCATTAATTAGTAAGAAAACAGAAATCCCTACACCTGACTTCCACATTCTGGTTTCAACTTTGCCGTACAGCTTTCCCACCTTCTACTTCCCTATACAACAGTACCTTCCAGCCAAACTGGAACACTTTGTATCTTCCTATCTTTTAGTACCCTTTCCTGCCTCCATGCCTTCATGTATTACATGATCCTCCTTACATAGATCGTTTTCATCTAGTGAAATCTTTTCTTTTCTCAGAGACCCCATTTAAAAAGCCCTTCTGCCAGGAAGACTTCTCTGATGTCTCCAGCTATAAAGGATCACTCTTTTTCACGCCACTGTTTCTTTACTCTTTGTACCTTTCCTTTGCCCTTATCATATTACAGCTTGTCCTAGTTAATTGTGGATCCGTCTTACCAGATTATAAGCTACTTAAGGGCAGGAACAGGACTGTTGTTTCATCTTTGCATCACCAATGCTTAGTAGTCTATGGCACATGGTAGGCCTTCTACATTTGTGGATTGAAACATTAAATAACCAGCTTAAGATGACAGTGACATTAACAACTGATAGAGAGCTCTTTAGCCAGAACACTGACTGTGTGCAAAGTTCTAGCAAACAATGTAACTAATAAACTCTTAGCCATCACCCACACATAATTTGTTCTGAAGTCCTAAGCTAAGCAAGGAAAAGCAGCTCTAAGTGTGGGGATTGCTGCTAACTGTTTTCCGCTCTACTGAATATTAAACTGATAAGGAAATACTACCAGCCTGTTATTTAATGCCCAGCACTACGCAGGTCTCTAAGCAACTGCTCTGCCACAAGAATTGTCAGTTAAGATTTCTGAATTTCTTTATTTTGTTATTAACATAAATGGAGGGATAAGAACATTATTTTTCATATTGGTACCATGCTTTTCTTTCAAGATCAAATACTTACCTCTCTTCACCACATCCTTGCCCTTCAAAACCATTACTACTTAAATGTTTGCTTTCTGACTGGAATTCTAATCCTTACAGGTAGGGGGAAGCTCATATTAACTTTAAAATACTGTCCATTTATCTGGATTTATAGCAACAGAGGAAAATTATGAAGCATTATTTTATAGTAGTTGCTTATATTTTAATGTGCTGTAATTTCAGCAATGGGAACTTTGAAAACTGCTATGGCCAAAAACTTCATTACTCTGAAGTCGATCTAGTGATGTACCTCTCTGAACTTAAGCTAGAAAGATCCTTTGACAACAGACCTACATGCCAATACCAGACCCTTGCTCAAAGAGGTTTTAGAGCTAATTAAAATGTGAAGCACCGGGTTATAATGGCTGAGATGATGTCTTATTTTAAAAGGATCCCTCTTTGACTGTCATAAGCATTTTGTGCTTTTCCTATCATAATGCATAGCTTATAAAACACAACATGGATAGTGGAAAAAGAACCAGATTTGGAATAAGGAAGACCCAGGTTCAAGTCTTGTCTGTGACACATACTAACTGTGATATTGAGTAAGTCACAACCTCTCGTTTGCCCAGGGATCTCTAGGGCTGTAAGTTACAGACTGGTTATCAACCTGAATCCTCTACACCAGGGGTGGAGAACCTGTAGTCTCAAGTACACATGTGGCCCTCTAGGTCCTCAAGTGTGACCCTATGACTGAATCCAAACTTCACAGAATAAATCCCCTTAATAAAAGGATTTGTTCAGTAAAACTTTGACTCAGTCGAAGTTACCCAAGGATCTAGAAGGCCATATGTGGTCTCAAGACCTCAGGTTCCCCACCCCACCTCTACACCAGTAAAATCACAGGTCAGGATAGCAACAAGGACTGCCTATGTAGATTAGACACTCATCTTAAGGAACTGAAGAGATCACCCAGAAAGAGAAGAGGAGGGGGCTCATTCCTGAGGTATGCCTATACACAGGAGGCAGAACATAAATGATGGTCTTGCAGATAAGACTGATGCTGTTGTCCTGACAGGTAGGAATAGAATCATAACAGAATAATGTCACAAAAACTCTAGAGAGAGTATTTCAAAGTGGATAATCAGTAGTGTCAAATGCTTCGATAGGTTAAGATTAGAGTTAAGAAGAGGCTACTTGATTTAGCAATAAACAGATCATTGATGATTTCCAGGAAAACACACAATGTTCTAAAAGTCTTAGTGCAATTCTAAGCTATTAAAGCCTTTAGTGCACTGAATATATGTTTGTTGCTTGCATTCATTAACTAGAATTAAGTGAGCAGAAAACAGTGGAACAATTCATACAACGACTAGAACATTGTAAAGGAAAACAACTGTGAAAGGTCTAAGAATTAGGATCGTTTGTGATTCCAAAAGACTGATGATAAATCACACTGTTCACCTCTTAGAAGAGATTTGATAGAGTAGTACAAAATGAGACACACTTTCAGACATGATCAATGTATAGATTTGTTTAGTTTGACTTTGTTATAAAAGATGGCTTTTGGGGTGGGGTGGAGGGGAGTACTTAAGAGAGGGAATGGGGGAAGAATAGTAATGGTGATATAAAAGAAAGTGGGGGGGGAGAGAAAGAAAACAGCATCAATGAATCATTTAAAAATGCGTAGAAGAAGGGGCAGCTAGATAGTACAGTGAATAAAGCACATGCCTTGGAGTGAGGAGGGCCTAAGTTCAAATCTGGCCTCAGACACTTACTGGCTGTGATCTTGGGCCAGTCATTTAACCCTGGATGCCTCCCCCTCCCAAAAAAAAATGGAGAAAAGGAGTTCAGAATAGTCATGGCCTGGCAGGGAAATGTTGGAACTAACATGTTAAATTTGAAATATATTTTTAAAAAACAAAGAAAGGTTTAGTTGCTGGGCATGAAGAAAGAAGTACACAAAAGACTGCTCAACTCTATCCAATAGCTTTCTCTAAAATGTTTCATATAAGGGGCAGCTAGGTAGTGCAGTGGATATAGCACTGGTCCTGGAGTCAGGAGGAGCTGAGTTCAAATCCGGCCTCAGACTCTAGCTGTGTGACCCTCAGCAAGTCACTTAACCCCAACTGTCTGAAAAAAAAAATTTTAAAAAATAATAAAATGTGTCATGTAGATGTTATGCATTTGAAAGTCATTTAAAAAGGAAAAATTGGAGAAATATAGATGTCATAATGTATCTAAGATGAACTCTCAAAGCAGGTCAACATAAGAGCATAAAAAGAAAACATATATAATAAAAATGCTAGGGAGATAAGGTAACGAATTACAATAATCGATTTCCATTTTCTCATTACTCTTCCCAGTTCACACTGCCTCCTATGGTGTAAATGCTGAGGGTAACTATTTGTGCATTTTAAAGACTCTCAAATATTCATAGAATTCCTCATTGTTACAATATACTTTAATATCAGTGATACTGAAGGATTTATTATTAGTTCACATTTATTGGAAGATGGGAAATATTTTATAGATCATAGATATATATGTTTTCAATAACCAAATGGGCCTATGCTATTTTTACAAGCCTTTAAGTAGAAATGATATTAATTGAATAAAATTTCATAAGAGATTTATTTTCAAAATTTATAAGTTTACTTGAATATACAGAATACAGCCAGAGAAGTATATGATTTTTTTTCCTTAACACTTGGTGCATAAAATTGTATCTAACAAACTTCCTGTTTGTACAATCTTTACATTTCTGAAGCCATGTTGTTCAAGTAAACATCTGTATTCGTAGCTGCTCCTCTCCTTTCCCTCTGTCTGGACAAGCATGTTCAAAGACTGCAGCCATGCACTTCTGTTTCTGTTCTTGTCATCTAAGACCATTTCATTCAGCAAAAGGCCAGATCCTGATGTTGAAAATGCAAGACAAGTGTTGAAAAATTGAAATCATCTTAAAAATTACAAGGAGTCCACCATGGCAAGGTCTTGACATTATACTTTTGACTCATATCAGCCATGACAAGTGACTGAAGGATACAGAAAAGGTAAAGTCAGAATATGATTCATAGGAACAGAGTTGTAAAAAGGTGACAAGCAAAAGAATAGAATTGAAATAGATACGCCCAGGAAGACCTGAACTCCCGCTGGAGTGAAACTGTTCTTCTGAGAGGTAGCATGGCATAACAGAGATAGACTGGTGCATTTAAGAGTCCAGAAGACCTAAGTTCAACCTCCATTCTGACATTTACTCTGTAACCTTGAGCAAGTCATAACTTCTCTGAGAGTTCATTCCCTCATCTGCACAAAGAGGGGATTGGACCTGATGGTACAATGATCAGCTATCACAGCTATGGTCAACTATGATCCTATGATTCAACAGTGGATGGCAAATGGTAACACAAAAAGACACAAAACTATACATGCATTAATGTCTATGAAAGCTTTTATTGAAACAAAGGCAATTTTACTTTCTTCCACTCATTATCCTTTGGCTAGCATTCAGGATTAACAGTCACTGATGCACTCATTCAAAATCTAACTCTGTGTTAACCTTCTCAGTTCACTTTATCTATCTGAACAGAAGTAGGTGAGATGAAGTCAGAGCTATGGTACATTAGTGCTTTGAAAATGGTTTGACTTCAAGATTCAAAAATTCTTGAAACTAAGTGCATGTTTGTTTTAAGTTCCAAAATGGCATTTCACAGTCAAGTGGAAAAATAGAAACTTGCAGTGATATTCAAAACAACTTCTGAAAAATCAGGCAAAATTTGCCTGTAATTTCATATTCCCTAAATTGTAAAGAGGTAACAGAATTACTTGGCCAGCCCAAAAAAACAAAACAAAACAAAACAAAAAAATGGGCTAAAGTTTCAAGAATACACACAAAACATGTAACATACAGAAATACAAGGAAAAAAAAAAATCCAGGCCTTCCAAAAAACTTGTCATAAGCATGCCTAGAAATGTGCCCATAGAACAGAACACTTCTTCATTTATAATCTGATCAGGGGTGCAGTCCTGCAGTCTCAAAGATGAGTCCAGTGCCTGTTTTGAATGCAAAGAGAGGATAAGGCAACTGGGGTTAAGGAGTCTAAAACTTTGCATCTATTCTATGGCTTAAGTTGGTATGGGTGAGAATATTTGCGTGCATACCCACAGATCAGTCATTACAGCCATCCACAAGTAGGACCACAGTGTTTGAAAGGTTTAGGTACAGGAAGAGTCTGAGAGGACTCCAAGTGATGAGATCAAGACTTTTCCCTAGATGACTAAGCTTTATTTATGGTATCAGTGTTATGAAAATAGTTGAACTTCAAAATCCCAAACTGCTTAATTCACTGTATATGTGGTTTTTTTTAATCCCAAAATAGCATCCAAAAAGTTTCCTGTTATCTTAGTTTGCACTTGGGTGAATCCATATTTTTCCAATAACTGTCTGTATTCTGAGCTACTCCTCTGCTTGCCTTCCGTGATACTAAGGGACTGCAGCACAGCTCGTGAAGGGTCTATCTTTTCTTCACCAAGTACAATTTCAGCTACTAGCAAGGCACAGCCTGTATTTTCAAAATAAACCAAAACACAGTTCATTAAATTGACAGGTTTCTTTACACACATGCAGTTGATTGCTTATAAACAAAAACCTAAGGGGAAAGAATTCAGAATCCTAATGAGTGGGCAAAATTGCAAAGTCTCTATAACCCTCCACTAAAAAGGTAAGGTCGATAGCACAAATTTTATCTATTCACAGGGTAGCAAAAGAACAGGAAGATGGACAATTATTAGGAAGACAAGATAACATGAAACCCCTTACAAGTGTTTGCCATGCCTGTACTGTTTCTTTACTTAGACAGATTCTGAAAATATTAACATCTTATTTAAATGGGAAGTAAATCAATAGATCTAGCTGTATACAAATCCGATAGATTCACAAGACAGCAGAACAACTGGCAGATGGATGATTATTAGAAAGAGAAGATATCTTGAAGCAAGCTGTTAGGTGGTGCATGGGATAGAATGCAGGGCTAAGCGTGAGGAAGCCCTGAGTTTAAATCCTTCCTCTGACCCTGGGCACAACACTTAACCTCTCTCAGCCTCAGTTTCCTCTTCTGTAAAATGGGGATTATACCACCCAGAGTCATTGGGAAGATCAAATGAGATAATATATAAAGCACTTTGCAAACCTTAAGCTCTCTATAAGTATTAGCTATTATTATTATTATTATTATTATTATTATCCAGCATATGTCTATGGTAATTTATGTATGTAGTATCAGAAAATATTAACATGCCATTTAAATGAGAGATAAATCAAGTCATAAACTTCTAGTTCTTTTTATTATTAGCAAATGCTCTGGTTATGGAATGAGCAATTTCTAAAAAGCCATTATATAGTAATATGTTATTATAATGTAGTATAATATACTATAATATATCATTAATATATAACCACATACTATATACTATATTATAAAAGATATATTTATACTGTATGTATTACATATAATTATATATCATATAGTTATATGTAATAACACATCTGATATATCATTATAATATATTATGATATGATTATAATGTAATATAACATAATATTTTATCAGCATACCAATAATTCTAAAGGTTTAAATGCACAGGCAAAATAAATCAAATTATATTTGCCATGAATAATAGGAAATATTACACATTATAAGATGACAGAAGTAACTTCCCTCAATAGGCATAAAAGAGACCCAATACTTGTGCTTGGTCACAAACACGTAGAATACAAAAACCAGAAATCTGACATTTACTTTAAAATCATTTAAAATAATTTCATAAATGTTCTCTTTACTGCTGTGAGATCAAAGGATTCAGAACCCACAGAACTAGCTTAATGGTTATTATCTAGGTCAACTTTGGTAGAGGAAGTACTCTGGCCCAGAGAGAGGGAGGAGGAACTTGTGGAGAAGACACCTAATGTGGGTGTCATCTGAAGAACAGCTCTGGCACAGCCCCCTCACAGTTTCTGAAACTGAAAGTCTTACCTGGTGTGCAAAGATCTGAAATTTTACTTAATAATGCATCAATCTTGTCATCTGGCCAGTCATGAAGAACTCTTGAAAGAATGTAAAGATCAGCTTCAGGGATGTTATCTTTGAAAAAGTCACCTAGTTACACAAAACAAAATGAAGAAAAGTTCTAGAAAGTGTAAGGCATTTCAAATACTCTTAATGAAAGGGAGTATGAGACCTTTTGCTCACAATGCAGAGATGTGAGGATAGGGACTGGAGCTGCTATTTCATTGTCACTATGGCAACTCTCAGATGAGGAGACTCCCTTTAGTAATGCAGGTCAGCAGCATCTCTGTAACTTATTGTTTCAGAGAGTTGTCCTGAGCAGAGATGTCAAGTATGCACAGGCCACATGTAGCCAGAAACACTCCAGAGTGTGGCTGGAACCAGATTAAAATGTAACTGGGAAATATTTATTTATTTATTATGTATGTATGAATGTCAGTATGTAGTTTTCTAAGTCATAATATGCATCTCCAGGCACTCTTATGTACGGTGTAATGGCCCCTATATCTAATTGAGTTTGACGTCACTAGTCTGGATCACTGAGAAGTAACAGTGACTTGTCCAGGGTCCCATAAATAATATGCACCAGAGGAACTTGAACTTTAAATGTTATTTTTTTCAATTATTGAGCATTTTTTCCTCCTTCCCACTTTCTTGTCCCCAACCATGGGGAAAAAGGAAAAGAAAAAGGAAAAGAAAAACGGGAGCCTTGTAAACAAGTGAGCTGTCACGCCAAACAAATTCCCATGTTGTCCATGTACAAAATGTATGTCCCCACTCAGCAAGTGAGTAGCATTCTTCATTATTTGTCCTCTGGAATCATGACTGAACCCACTGACTTCAAGGCCCATTCTCTATCCTACTAGGCCACATTGCCTCTCACAAAGAAGTAAAAGGAGGGGGCAGCTAGGTGGTGCAGTGGATAGGGCACCGGCCGTGGAGTCAGGAGGACCTGAGTTCAAATCTGACCTCAGACACTTAATACTTACTAGCTGTGTGACCTTGGGCAAATCACTTAACCCCACTGCCTAGCCAAAAACAAAACAAAAAGAAGGAAAAGGAGGCAGGACAAGGAGGCAGAGTAGGATAGTTAGAAATAGGACTCAGGTTCTACCTAGGAGAAATAGAAGAGTCTATACATTGTTTGTAAAGGTCATACTTATTAAAAAATAACCAATTTCCTCCCAAATTCCATTATCATTATATTCTAATCATTCCCACCAAAAAGAAGGCACCCACAATGAGAACGTAAGGCTGTCTTTTGTTTTCAATTTCAAATCAATCTAGGTCTAAGCCCATATGTCTGAAAGCTGAATCAGGAGAAATATTAAGGTGAAATCTTCCATTTCTTCCTGCAAGCCCTATCTGAACTGTGCTAGGGCTACAATGATAAAGAGTTCATAGCTGAAGCCTTCTTATCGTAAATACCTTAATTCAAGGGCCTTATGGACTCAATCTAGAGAACAGATGAATCTCAAAAATAGAGAATACACATGAAGAGGTCTTACATTATTCCAGTCTTGATTTTGTTTTGTTTTTTTGCTTTTTGCTAGGCAACTGGGGTTAAGTGACTTGCCCAGGGTCACATAGTTGTGTGTTGTGTGTCTGAGACCGGTATTTGAACTCAGGTCCTTCTGACTTCAAGGCCAGAGCTCTATCCACTGCGCCACTTAGCTGCCCCTCCAGTCTTGATTTTGGTCCATGAAGCATGATGAGACAGTGGGGCCATTTTCTTTTGATGACCAAATATATGTTAAAGCAACTTTTAAAATTATGACATGATGCTCAAAAATCTTTAAGATTGAAAAGGTTTTTTTTAAACTAGCAAGAGATTTAAAAATTAAAATAAAAAATAATTAAAGATTAAATTTAAAAATCAAAAAAAAATTCTCAAATTTCCCTTATAACCCATAACAGTTTTTAATATTGCTTTGAAATTCTAACTAAGATCTGACCCTCTCATTCTGTCCTACATAGAGGCAAAGCACTATTTTGTGTACGTGATAATGTAACAGTCTTAGGATTACAGCCCTAGAGTTGGAAGAGACCTTAGAAGTTATTTTGTCCATCCCCCCTCACTTTATAAATGAAGAAATGGAGGCATATAGAAGTTAAGTAATTTGCTCAAGGTCACACAGTTAATAAGTGGCATATCCAGCATTTGAACTCAGATTCTATGACAGAAAGTACCCCCACTGCCTCTCAGCTTTCTTTTCGCCTACATTTAAAATTACCTGATGTGAAAGTTATTCGACTGGTGTCTTGTCCAGTAGGTTGAAAACCAGAAACATTTTCAATGACATCAGGAAGGTCAAATACAGTCACTTTTAGATTTGGGTATTCTTGTATTAGCACTTGGGCCAAAGTTCCCGTACAGCCTGTAGACAGAAAAGAATTCTGAACCAAAAATACTTTCCTGGCATTTATAAAGAGCTTGAAACACAGCCAAGTTTGCCTTTAGGCAACATGGAAGATACAAGCTGAACGATGAATGTAAAAGAATTCTCTCTAATTATAGACTTCAACATGGCAAAGACCTGTTATTTTGTAAGTGTGGGTAATCCCTCTACCTACTCAGACTATAACCATTCTATAACTTACCAGATAGGCTGTAAGAGTCTGTGGCTAAAAAAAAAAATCCATTACCCTGTGACCAGTCTGACAAGCAGCTTCTCTAAAAGCTTGGCAAAGTTTGTCTTCAGAAAACAGAAACGCAGTAGAGACCACTATTCAAAGCATCTCCAGGTTAGTGTGTTGGAATGCTAAAAATACGAATAATACCATTGAAGAATGATGTAATGCAAGAGAGTGCTTCTGCACTGCTCTCTTTCTGTTCCCACTGTCAGTGACCAACCACAGAGATTCCTACACATCAGGTGTGACTCTTGACTAGGTCTGGTGATATTACCTTTTTTTTTTAAAGTATCAATAAAGTATTCACTAGGCATTTGACACAAGAACAGTTTCAGGCATAAAGAATACACATGAAGAGCTCTTACATTATTCCAGTCTTCAATTTGATCCTTAGCTTGCAACACTGATGAGATGATAGAACCACTTTATTTTAATGACTTAAGATAGGTTAAACCAACCTTTTTCATGATGACATGAGGCTTCCAAAACATCACAAGGCTGGTATCATTACTTTGTTCACAAAAAGTGCTAATATTATTAAAACAACCACAAGAGCCCCAAAAGATTAGTAGCTCACCAAGAGGCAGTAACTATTTTTTTTTTCTTGTGGGCAGGTTAGCAATTGATCAGATAAAAATGCCATATATGAAAGGAAGGTTCCAATTGGGAAATAAAATGGATGAAATGGTGTGAAAACTTCTCAGAGTTCTAGTTCTTGCCCATTTTATATCTTTAATGGTAACAGAAGCACAGTCCATTGGAGCTGGAAGGACCCTTGGAGATGATCTAAACCAGGTGTTCTTAACCTTTTTTTGTGATATGGAACCCTTGGACAATCTGGTGAAACCTATGGATCCCTCTTCAGAATAATTATTTTTTAATGTATAAGATAAAATACATTTTAATCTAATAAAAATAATTACAAAGTTATTTTGTACAAATTCCCAAAATTATAAAATATCACAAAAGAAACCAATTATATTTAAATACAGTTATCAAAGTACTTTTCAAAAAAAAGTTGAGACTCCAAATTAAGAATCCCTGATCTAGTGCAACTCTTGTTTTAGAGATAGGAGAAGTAAAGTGATTTGTCAGATGTCACACAGATAGGGAGGGGCATGATGAGGATAAGTTCTTTAGCTCAGATTATTAGATTGGGATGTTATACTAATTTCTAGGAGATAAGACCTCATTATCAGTTCAGTACTTAACATATAAAACCGATTTGTTCTTGAAGGGTCTTCACATAGCCTTGTAACAATAAAACCCGTGAATTTGCTTCCTATTACTATAATCTGCACAATTCAATTAAAAAAAATATTTATTTTAAACTCAAATACAAAGTGAGGGAAAAAAAGAACATTTCTATGTACACAGCAGAATATAAAATGAGGATTCAATATAAAACCATGAATTTCCATTTCAGACTTTTTTTCACTTTTTTTTTTTGAAAAGCTATGTAATAAACTATGTCCAAAGGGCTATAAAAATGTGCATACCCTTTGACCCAGCAATAGTACTTCTAGGGCTGTATCCCAAAGAAATCACACAAATAGGAAAAGGACCCACATGTACAAAAATATTTATAGCAGCTCTTTTTTTGTGGTGGAAAGAACTGGAAATTGAGAGGATGCCCATCAATTGGGGAATGGCTGAACAAATTGTGGTATGTGATTGTAATGGAATACTATTGTGCTATAAGAAATGATGAGTAAACGGACTTCAGACTTGTATGGACTGATGCTGAGTGAAATGAGCAGAACCAGGAGAACATTGTACTCAGTAACAGCTATGTTGCGTGACAACTACCTTTGATAGACTTAGCCCTTCTCAGCAATACAAGAATCTAAGACATCCCCAAAGGTCTCATGATGGAAAATGCTATCCACATCCAAAGAAAGAACTATGGATTTTGAAAGCAGATCAAAGCATACTATTTGCTATTTTTTTTTCTGTTTTGTTTTGTTTCTTTCTGGTGGTTGTTCCTGTTGGTTCTAATTCTTCCTTACAACATGACTAAAGTGAAAATATGTTTAATAGGAATGTATATGTATAGCTTATATCAGATTGCGAGCCGTCTTGAGGAGGGAGGAGGAGGGGGAGGGGAAGAAAAATTTAAAACGCAAAAAGTTTGTGGAAGTGATTGTTGATAAATCAAAATAAATTAAGAAAAAAAGAAAAAAAGCTATTTAATACTATACATTGTTTTAAAAGCTACCTTGCTTTTCTGTGCTTCCTTCTAAGTTTTCTTTTTTATTCTGCTATGCACTTTTTATTTTTTTCTCCCTCTCTCCCCATCCCACCCACCCTAGAGAAGGCTGCAATTAAATGTGAATATATACATATATATAAAACCATACTACAGGTTCCACCAGGAGCCAAAATGGCAGAGTAAGAAGTGAGTCTCTCTCACCCTCCCTCATTAACCTCTATAAGCTCCGAAAATATCGCCCCAGGAAAAATCCTGGAACAGCTGAACCAGCAGAAAGATGGGGTGCAGCAGTCCTGTAGCCCAGGAAGCCTGAGGGATTAACGGGAAAGGCCCCTCTTGCCCTGGGGGAGGGGGAACAGTACAGAATGGGAGACATCCCAGCAAGGTAGTGGAAAGCCCCACCTCAGCATTCCAGGGAGAGATCTTGAATCCCAGATGGTGGAACAGGCAAGGACCAACACCAGGACCCCCAAGTGCCTCAGTATGGGCAGGGGAACCAGTGGAAACCGGCTTGGAAAACCACCACATGCCACGGCTTTCTCTAGCAGCCAAGTCTCCCAGTGCCTCAGCAAAACTCTGGGAAGCACAACTCCAAGAGTCAAAGGCCCAGGCACAGAAACATCCTGCAGCAGCAAAACATCCATCTTCAAGGAGTCAAAGAAAGCTAAAGGCCCAGGTGAGCAGGCAACCTCCAGGGGCCAGACTCCCCACCCCTACCCTTAGAGCTCCAGTGTTGCTGATTCCTTCCCAACACCAGGTAAGATGCCAGAACCCTATAGCCTCCAACTTCCAGCATCGGAGGCTCCAGCACACAAAGCCATCAACCAGGCCCTGGGCTCCCAGCAAAACAAGCTTGGGTCACTGCCCCCTGCTCCTCAGCAAGAGAGCTCAATCTTTTTAAGGGCCAGGAAATAAGCAAACACCATGAGCAAAAAGAAACATATCACAGATGCTTATTATGGGGACAGTGAAGATCAAGGCAGAGATTCTGAGGAGGACAACATTGTCAATAAACCCACATCTGAAACCTTAAAAGGGAATATGAACTGGTCTAAAGCCCAAAAAGCCTTCTTGGAAGAGCTCAAGAAAGATTTTAAAAGTCAAATAAGAGAGGTAAAAGAAAAATTAGGAAAAGAAATGAGAGGTATGCAAGGGAGAGTCAATAGCTTGGAAAAGGAAGGACAAACATTAACATAGAAAACAAGTCCCTAAAAAATATAACTGACCAACTGGAAAAAAAGTACACTGAAGAAAACAACTCCCTAAAAAAATACAATTGGCCAGACGGAAAGGGAGACACAAAAACTCACTGAGGAGAAGAACACCTTAAAACATAAAATGGGCCAAATGGAAAAGGAGGTACAAAATCTAACGGAAGAAAACAATTTGTTAAAAATTAGAATTGGGCGAGTGGAAGCTAATGACTCTATGAGACAGGGAGAATCAGTCAAACAGAAACAAAAGAATGAAAAAATAGATGAAAACGTAAACTGCCTTATTGGTAAAACAACTGATCTAGAAAATAGATGCAGGAGAGACAATTTAAAAACTATTGGTCTACCTGAAAATCATGATGAAAAAAGAAGCCTGGACAGCACCTTTCAGGAAATCATCAATGGAAAACTGCCTTGAGGTCCTAGAACCAGAGGGTAAAATAGCCATAGAAAGATCCCCCTATCACCTCCTGCAAGAGATCCCAAATTGAGAACACCAAGGAATATAGTAGTCAAATTCCAAAATTAACAGGTAAAATACTGCAAGCAACCAGAAAGAAACAATTTAAATATCATGGAACCACAATCAGGATTACACAGGACCTTGCACCTTCTACATTAAAAGAAGGTAGGGCATGGAATACGATATTTCATAAGGCAAAGGCTTGGATTACAACCAAGAAATCAACTACCCAGTGAAAATGAGCATAATCTTTCAGGGAGGAGATGGACACTCAATGAAATAGGGGACTTCCAAACCTTCCTGATAAAAAGACCAGAGCTCAACAGAAAATTTGATTTTCAAATACAAGACTCAAGAGAGACATAAAAAAGGTAAACAGGACAGAAAAAAAGAACATGTTATAAATAAGGGCAAACTGTTTCCATCCCTACAAGGGAAGATGACACTTGTAACTCTTGAACACTGTACTGTTATTACACCATGTTAAACTGGTAAACATAGAAGGGATGGGTGTAAGTTAACTTTGATGTAATGAAAAAAAGGGAGGGGGCTAATAGAATGGAGGTGGGACTGAGGAAGATGGTGGTCAAAAGCAAAACACTAGGGAAAGGGAGGAAGGAGAGAGAAAAGCATAAACAGAGGGGAAACAGGATGGGGAGAAAGACACAGATGGTAATCATAACTGTGAATGTGAATGGGATGAACTCTCCCATAAAATGTAAGCAGTTAGCAGAATGGATTAAAAACCATTTTTATACCCTTCTACATGTATATGTTGTTCGCCCATTAACCCAGATCTGATGAGAATAAGGTTCCGGCACTAGTAGCCCTCCCCCCCCCCCCCATCTGCTTTCT